TTATAATACAGGCTTTGTTATAATATAGGCTATAATATAAATTTTACCTATAATATAGGTAAAAATTTAAATATAGGCTTTGTATTAGATGATTTTGCCCAACTATAGGTTCAGCTAAGTGATGATGTTCAGTGGGTGAGTTGCATTAAATGCACTTTCCACTTACAAAGTATTTATTAGAATGTAACTCATCATAAGTCAAGGAGCACCTGTAGTTTCCCAAACAACTCCAAGTGCCTCTAAAACCTAGTTGTACTATAAAATCGAAACCACATGCTCCCATCTGTATCATTCCATCTCTCCAGCACTTTCATTATTCCAGCCTTGTTGTTTTTCTTACTGGCTTTAGACTTGGATGCTTCAAGCCTTAGCTTCTGTAACCACCCTATCTGAGTGGCCACCCACCATGCTCTGTCTTATTTCATTTTTGGAAACACTCGTCATTCTCTGAAGTTAGTTTACCTGTTTGCTTATTGTCTAGTTGAGTGTCTGTCTTCCCCACATGGAAAGAGAAAGCTCTGTGGAGGTAAGAACCTTGGCTGTCATGTTCGTGATGGTGGGACTGTGTCTCCAGTCCCTACAGCATCCTTGGTGCACAGCAGAATAGTGAGTGAGCGGGGAGAAGTGATTGAGGCTTGTCACTGTCACACCAGAAAGCTTCTGTCACAATCTAATTATCTATAGTCCGCCACAAACCTGCCTTCTTTTCCCACTAGATTACATTCCTAGTAGGTGGTGGCAGGTGGTGCCATCTACCCTGTCAGAGGAGACACATGCAGTGTCCACACATGACACAGGGTGTGGCATGCTGCAAAAACAAACAGGCTTCCTGTCACACAGAGCCCATGGGAGGACACTTTGCTTTGCTCTACTCAAGGCAGAGAGGCTTTCACAGGTCAGGGAGCAGGGAGAATGAGTTGCAGACAGTGACTATGGTAGAGGTGCAGCAATAAAAAGAAGTATAAATTATCTTTGGAGGGGCTCTTTGAGGACATCAAATTCAACCCTCTGTCCTTGCTGTCCTCTACAGTGACCCTGATAAGTGGCCATCTTCTTACCACATGAGCTTGCCTCTGACAGGTGTTTAATACACAGTGGTATTGACAGTACCTAAGGTTTACTGAGCACCTGCTTTGGACTGTACTGGATCACTAGGCCTACCGTGCAGGGTGCACACTACATTGTCAGGCAGTGACGTGAATGGCACATGAATGGTGAGGTATGATGTCTGTAATGCAGTGTTATCTAAATTCATCCACACAGCCCACAGTGGTAGCCACATGGTAATAAGATGCAGAGCTGAGGGTTAAGCCCAGCAAACCGCATCTTCAAATGAATGGGCACTCTGACACCCACCTCTTTACAACTTCCACCTGGTAGCTCCAACCCTGCCCTCAGAGGCCCCCAAAAGTCTGCCCTCTGCCCAGCTCCCTGCTGTACATACATATACCACCACTGATTCCTGGTCTGCCCTAAACATAAAAAATATGTCAAACCGCTCCCCATGGGAGCCCTTCACAACTCACCACTGCTCTTGGGACAGAAGCCACCTTCCTCCCCACAAGGCCCACAGCCAGTGTGACCGACTGCCATATCTCTACCCTTGAGCTCTTCCCTGAAGCCCCTGCTATATCTTAGGACCCCAAACACCAGAGCTCCCTGCCACGCAGACCCTTAGCACCCTTCGGCCCTTCCTCGTGTGCTCTTCCCTCTCTCTCATGCGCTGGCTCCTTCTCTCCTTGGGCCTCAGTGTCACATCACACCCTCCTCTGGCCACCACATTGGAGTCTTTCCACCATATTTCTCAGCTCCTGTAGCACTTTCACTCTCTTATTTCCTCCCCAGGATTCTCAAGTTCTTTTTTTTTTTTTTTTTTTTTACAAAAATCTGCTTGCTTTCTTCTGTCATTATCATCTGGCTGAATATAAAGCCAGAAAGGCAGACAATGTGTCACCTTGTTCACCAATGTATCCCTGCTTTGCCCACAGAAGTCATTTCATAAATACTTGTTAAATGACTGAATGAGCAGATGCCCTCTGAACATTTGGAGATAGTCATTCCGAAAGGGTGCATTGTTTTCCCAGATGCAGTGTACTCAGCTGTTCGAGTACACTCAGCCCTTGGTTTCTGTGGGTTCCACACTTGAAGATTCAACAATCTACACATCAAATACATTCCAGAAAGTTCCAAAAAGCAAAACTTGAATTTTCCACCTGCCAAGCACTAGATTAAATCCATGTAGGCCCAGCCTACTCCAGCCTCCCACTCCTCCCAGACCCACAGTGTCTCTCCAGCTTTTGTCTGGCCACTGTTCGCCTTGTGTCTCCTTTTGTACCATGTAGTGAGGCCTACAATGCTTGTGCCTGTACGAAACATGGCTAGGATTTTTTTCCTGTAATTATTCCCTAAACAATCCAGTGTAACAAGTGTTTACATACACAATTGACATTATAGTAGGTATTGTAGGTAGGTACAGGCAAATACTATACCATTTTATATACGGGACACGAATATCCATGGATTTTGGTTTCCACGGGGGTCCTGGGGCCAACCCCCTGCGTATACCAAAGGATGGCTTTGTTCTTCAAATACCATGGTGCCCTTCAGGCACAGAATAATTTTTCTATGTTGTCCTTAAAGTATCACCACAATATTCTAGGTATGGAACTTGAACAGAATATAAGGGGATACTCTCTTTCCCATTCTATCCATATTGGAGCCCAAAAATTACTGATCTTTGATGGGAGGGGGAGATGAATGAGTTGACCAGCTGCCCCTACCCCACCAATATGGTCATCTCAGTGATTTGCTAGTTAACAAGTGGCTCTTGTCACTCCCTGCCCTAGAGCCTTGACCTGTAGTATTGACCAATATGGTGGTGTAAATCTGCCCTGTGACTGATTTCAAGCTGCCAAGGTGAGGTCACTGGCCATGGATCTGGGAAGCTGCTAGCAGTCACAGAGCCAGTTCCAGTACACATGGGCCTTTCGTTCCCAGGCCAGCACACGATCCCCACCAACACTAAGAAACATCACCCACGACAGTGCAAGCATCTGCACTAATGCAAACACTCTGCTGCATTTCCCCATAAAATCAGAGTTCACTAAAAACCAGACACAAAGTGAAGAGGAAGAGAAGGAAGGCATACCTAAAATCTCTGACCAAAATTAAGGGGACAAAGAGAAATTGTTCTTTTGTTATTGGTTTGGTTTCTCTTATTTCACTCCATTCATTTCTTTTCTCTCTCCAATTCTCACAACAGGTGTTAAAACTTAGACATAATTCAGCTCTGTGCCCTTTGGTGAGTAGGTAGCGCCCCACACATAAGGCTGATGCGCTGTCATCCGAATGCCAGCTTTGTTGTTTTTGTTTGTTTGTTTAGAGAATATGGTTCCGAACTGTAATTTATTCACTTTGTTTTTATTTGGGTCAGTGGGAAAGGACTGGCAATTAGTTCTTCTGGCAAAGGTTCAGTTATGCCTGAAAAAAGAACACAGACTTAACATGTTTTACAATCAGTCCTAACCACCTCTGGGAAGCTCTCCAATCCCGACATGTCAGTTTCCATTGTGCTTGTCTGGACACAACCTCTAAGAGAATTTCTATTTTATGAAGCAGGGTGGGGAAATGCCGAAAGACAGAGCTGAGGTTAATTGCAAGGTTGACTTGCTATGCAGGAGCAAAAGGAAGCATGCTTATCTTATCCTGCAACTCCTGCCACATTCACCCTTTAGCAAGGCGGGAGTGGGACAGGCTTCCAGACCGTTAGACTCTATGTTGTAGAATAATTTTGCTTCAGAATTAATTATGTCTGGGAGTGCTTTTCTCTTTTCAGGTGGTAAGCTTTTTATTGAAGTATAACATGTACACAGAAAAATGCCCAAGTCTTCAGTATCCAACCTGATGGATTATCACAAAGTGAATGTACCTATCGAACCATGTTCAAGTCAAGACATGGACGGTGCTGGAAGGGGCTACCACATCCGGCTCCTGGCATGACCTCCCCACCCACCTTCCCCAAGCTGGCCACTAACTCTGTGGAAGCATTTTCATTGTACCTGTCGAATTTTAAGTCAAAGCTCTGATTTTTTTCATAATTATCCAGAAGACCTCTAATTAATTCATGTTTTTAAAATAGAGATTGAGAGTAGTGGAGCATTTCTATGGTTGGAGCTGTTACTGACTCAGAGTCACATATGGAAATTGATGTAGGGCAGGGCCTCCCCTGGGCTATGCAGGAGACTGGGCATACTTTCTTTCTTCTTTTTTTCCAGGTCCCTGTCTATATAAACAATTTGACTAAAAAAAGAAAAAAAGTACTGCAAAGTTCATGGTGCCTTGCAAGCAGATTTATCATAGAGATTTATAATAGCCAAAAAGAAGTGCTTAAGTGCTTGTTTATGCCCAGTCAGTGCACCTGGAACTTCTTAGTGTCCAGGCACCATCTCTTCAGGTCCAGGAAATATCTTTTCCTGTTCTTTATTGTCGACTGTCCCATTTCTGGCTTATTCCACATTTCCCACAAGAAAAGGGGGCAATGTTATTGTTATTCACAATATGCCATGGCTTTTGAATCATGAAACAATATAACTCATTTTGCACATTCCTAATCCTGTGTATTTAATTCTGGCTGAATTATTACTTGTGATGCTACGTCATGTACTGGGCCATCCAAGAACACTGGCTTCCGATGACATTTTCAGAGTTACTGTGTCTTGTTTGCGATGTCCATTAATGCAGGAAGTTGTGAAATATTTATTTTCTGGTTATGCTACATTTGCCATTGGGAATTTTACAGCCTTCTTGTAGAACAGCACATCTTCCAACCATATTTTTCTTGAATTCTTTGGAGCCATATTCACTGTGTCTATAGAATGAGATTGCTTTCACTGCTGACCTCACCCCACCTTCTATTCATGCCCATTGGTAGGGAGGATATATGAGGCACTGTGAGCAGAGAGAAGGGTCCCAACCTCAAGGTCATATCTTTCCCTCATTAGGAACAGCTGAAGACCCAACCGAGAACAGCATAACATCATCACACCACTAAGAGGCAAGAGAAGACCTACATGTTGGATGCACTTGGCAAGGTATTGAGAGCCCTTGGATGGGATGGCTGTTGCTGCTACTGCAGGAGTGCCCAGCATGTGGAAGTGGGTGGAGATTGTCCTGGGTACCAGCAGTGCCAGTCCCACCCCTCACTGCCTTCACATGCTGCAGATTAGAGGCCATTCCTCAGGCAAAGCTTCATGGGCAAAGGCAATACATATGTTCATGCCACATGTAGTAGTGGACCTCAGTAGCCTGGAGTCCTGAACTGACCCTGTGTCTGACGTGACAGTCATCCCAAATCAGTGCATCAATGCCATTTTGCGGGACCACTCTCACATAATTCCATAATAAAATGTCATACCAACCACAGGTCCCAGAATAATGTGGATATGAGTCCCAAAACTCCTTAAGGCACCTGGTCAACTCCAAGATCAAAGCAGGAGATTAGAGAGAGCCCAAAGAGAAGAATGGGCCACATGGGTCCTAGTCTGAGCTTGGCCTCCCTTCCTAGCTGGCTCTGTAGGCTCTGGCTGATCCTAGGCACCAGTGGGAGAGTAAGAAGTTTTCCAAGAAGCCATTTCAAAGTGCCAAACCCCCTGAGGTGTGGATCTCCTGGATCTACCGAGGTCTGGTGTCAATGGGATTTCTAAGGCAGGGCTTTGTACACGAGCCATCTTGCTCCCAGAGTCTTACCTTGTACACCTATTACCTAAAAAATCTTTTGTGTCACCAAGAAAGAAAAAAGAAGTGTGTACGTATGTTTTTTGTTTGTTTTAGTTTTTTAGTAAGGAGGTATGATATAGCAGTTCTCTGTCTTCAAGCCATTTGCTACATAGATGTCTTTGGGTCTGTTTTTAGCCAATATAAGACTCAATTTCCTTATTCATAAAACGGACATAGAAAGAACACTGAGTGAAACTCACAAAATGTCAGAATGAATGCAAGATAATGCATATCAAAATCTTTTATCACCTGGTAAGGTCTATCAAATGTAAGATTGTGTTTTATATTCATTTGTGTTTTTTAAATGTTTGAGTAAAGTAATTTTCCAGCTGAGTTCTTTCAGTTTACTCTTTTTGGAATCATAAATTAGAAATGACACTGATTGCATGATTTGAAATCTATATCCTGAGCCTGTCAAAGGGTACCATAGCCCTTTCTTTTATTCTCCTTTACACTTCTGGGACAGATCCTTGACTTTGAGTCCCTGATGCTGACCAGTCCCAAGCACCCACCTATGTATTGTATTTGCATTCAAGTAAAATAAACACACTATTCTTCCTACTTTTCTAGCTGTGATCTCATTCTATCAGTGTTGACAAGATACACTTACCTACATACCCAGGCAACTAAAACCAGGACACCCTAAGGGAGGGTGCAGTCACCGGAACCTGTGGCAGACAAGGAAGAACAAGGAGCACAGAGGGACAGAGCTTCAAGAGAGAGGTGACAGACAGTCCCTCACAGTGACTCTACACACACACCTGGTTTCACACCTCAGTCTAATCCCCTCCCCTAAGGGTGGGCTGGCCTCCTGGCTTGCTTCTCATGAATAGAACACAGAAATGGGGACATCACTTCTGTGCTCAGCTCACTGTAAGACTGCTAGGGGACTTTTATCATCACAAGAGCTGCATTCTCTCTGGCTTTGATGAAGCAGGCATCCATGTTGGAGAGGTGTACATATCAAGGAGTTGAGGGAACTGTCAAAAATCCCCTAGGTTATGGAACCTAGCAACAACCATATGGTCCTAGAGTGACTCTTTTTGATGGTAGGTAGTCCAGCCCTGCTGACCCCCCAATTACAGCCACATGAGAGACCCTCCATTAGAGAGCCAACTACAGGAACAGTGCGAAAATTAATGTGTATTATTTCAAAAGACTAATTTTGTGGTAATTTGTTAGGCAGCAACAGATAATACAGAAAGCAAAAACAAAAATATCTAAGAATTCATACATGAAAACTTTGAAGACAATCTCCTGTTGAGGAAAAGTTTATCTTCTTTAACTTTAAACTGTATAGGCTGATTCTATTCCAGTAGATACTGTTACAAATGCATCTACAAAATTATCCAAGAAATTTATTTAAAAATATTTCTAAGCTCCCAAAATATTGATTTCTTGATCAAATTTATCAGCACATCTAGCATGAAATTACTATGTAGCTTCTAAACAGATTGCCCTACTCAACTCACCTATTTCTGCCAAAGAAAGCACTATCTTGAATTCATCTTAGAGACCACCTGTTCATTTCACAGTTGAGATTAAATGGAGTCCCTAGGGGCTGAGTGACACCAAGAGCCACACCAAGGGACAGAGGCAGGGAAAGCACACAACTTCTAGCCCCAGCTCCTCCTATTGTGTTCTCTCCTTTCTCCCTCCAAACTACCATTTGTCACCAATTCTGCTGGGACCAGGTTTGAGCACTGTCTCCAATTCTGCTGCCTCCTCCCAGCTGGGCTCTCTCTCTTCACACCTTGTCACTGCCCAAGCCTCCCAGGTGGCCCATGAGTTCATCCAATCTCTCCAGCATGTCACAGTCAGCCTCACTTTCATCCTAGGCCTCCTGCAGGTGGCCCTAAAGCCTGCCTGTTGCTTTCTAAATCAGACCCAAGCTCCTCTGCCTGGCTTCCACAACCCGCATCTGTCTCATTCCTCCTCCTCCAGCATATGTCCTCAGTGCCATGGCCCCTATCTCTCTTGTCCCTTATGATGACATGCTTCTCTCCTCGCTCCATGCTTTCAAAATATTACTTAGGCTCTCCTCTCCCCTAATTCTTTTCCACTTCCTTTTCTCATTACTTTAAGAACAACTCCAAGCTGGGGGAAGTGGGGAGCACCTGTTACCATAGCAACTCAGAGGGCTGAGGCAGGATGATCACAAATTCAAAGTCAGTGCGGGAAATTTAGCAAGACCCTGTTGCAAAATTAAAGGGAAAGGGTGTTGTGAATGTAGTTCAATGGTAGAATTGCCTCTGCGTTTGATCCCCAGTACCTCAAAAAACAAAACAAAACACTGTATGTTATTCTTCTCAGCACTATCGTTATCTAACATACAACACACCTCACTTAATTATCCTACTTATCCTCCCCCTCCAGAATGCCAGCTCCTCGGTGGCAAGGAGTTTTAACTGTTTTGTTCACTGTAGTAGTCCAAGGGCATGAATAATGCCTGCACAATATTCCATAAATATTTGAATAAATAAATGAGACCCTACTTGCTCTATGAAGTTCTCCTTCACATTGTCGCTTCTTTTCCTGAAAATATCTAACATTTTGTCTGTTTAGAACGTAGTGAGGCTTCTGTTATTTCTTATGTTCTGTTTCTCTGCCCTGTAGGATGGTTGTGTTTATGTGCATCCAATACACTTCCTTTCTCACTTGTTCCAGATGTGTTGTTCCAACTGGTCCTCCAGACTAAGGTGCAGACCCCAGGCCCAGGCTGGGACTTAAGGAACCCCGTTCTCCTGGCTGCAGAGAATGGTCAAAGGAAAAAACCCGCACAAGGAAAGTTGGAGGCCTTCCCCAAGACTGATTCAGCTTTCTCAAGCTTTTCCTTCAATTCCACAAGCTGTCCTTCAAAAAAAGAAAAATATTTTCCAGCGACAAATGGTGGCGTACCCCTGCAATCCCAGTATTGAGGCAGGAAGATCTCAACTTCAAGCCCAGTCTAGGCTGCTTAGGGACTTAGCGAAATCCTGTTTTAAAACAAAAACTAAAAAGGGGCTCTGGATGGAGCTCAGTGCAAAGGCCCTTGATTCAATTCCTAGTATTTAAAAAAAAAAAAACCCAAAACAAAACAAAAAAAACTCTCTCACTTTGCTTATGTCTGTTTGAGTCAGATTTCTGTCACATGTGACATGAAGAATTTTTTGTCTTTTATTCTCCTTAAATTTTTCAACTTGTAGGCCAATAATACACTTGGTTAAATATATACTTCTTCTATATCCTAAACTAATTCAGTAGATGCCTTTTCCCCATCATGAATTACTGCAGGAAAAGCATACTTAATGCCTGACTGTGTGCATAATCTATAGAGAAATCTAAAATAACAAGTCAGTAATGATGGAGGAAAGAAAGTAAATGCAAAAGGCTACTTTTAAAAAGTATACTGTAGATTGAACTTCCTGTGGTTCTAGTTCCCCAATGGAAGAATCTGAATTTGAAAGCAGTAAATGTAAGATCTGGTTTTAGTATGGGCTCACTGGAGCTTTCTGAGTTCTACCATCACGACAGAGCCAAGTGGGTTCTGGTTCAGCACTTGTGTATCTGGGCTGTTATTTCCCACCGTAGTCTCATTTTTATCACCCATAAAAACAGACATGATAACCACTTATCTCTCAGGCTTGTTTGAAGATTTCTTGTTGAGATAACATATATAACTGACCTAGCCCAGGAGTCCTAGGAATCACAATTTATGACAAAGTTTATGTATTCACATGTGTACAGCCAGTGTAATCCCAGGGAAGCAGGCACACAGGTTAAAGGACAGAGAGTTCTGGTAGGCAGGAGACAAGCGTCTCCAGTGCATTACCAGGATGTCACAGCCAGTTGCCTCTTCTCACATCTCTCTCTTCCCAAAAGTCTAGTCTGCAGCTCTCCCTCCATTCTGCCCTGGGGAGGAAGGGAGGAAACATAATTGGCTGCTCCCAATTCCCATTTGAGAGTGCAGGACCTGGCTTCACTGGAAGCTGATGCTGCAAGTTCCACAGGGTGAGCTGTGAAAAATCTTCAGCACTCTCTGTCTGCCTATGTGCAGCCTGCAGCCTGATGGGTAGCCAGGTGAGCTGTTGTAAGAGTGTGTCCACCAAGAGACCTCACAGATCTAACCCTTCAGTGCAACAAGAAGCCCCAAAGCAGGAAATGAAAGGTCAGGCAATGTCAAGGGAGGTAGCGTTAGGTCATGTGCATCCATCACATGAAGGACTGCAAACAGCTGCTGCAGCCGGACCAGCCAGCTAAGCAGGTGAAGCACCCCATGACACAATCCTGCCAGAAAGGCAGCAACAAGCTCCCTCCTGCTGAGAACAGGACATTTTCTCTGCACCTTACAAGAACATGGAGGTGCCTGGCCCTCTTGGTCATGAGCAGAAAATCATGGCTGAGCCTTCTATCCTAGGCCCAGAATAGTGACTATGTCTAGTTTGGGGACCTGCACTGGACAATGTCTCCTAATGGTAGTTTCCTTCCTCCAACAAGTGCTTGGGCATGTGCTGAATTATCTGTAGCTCTCACAGTATTAAAATGTAAAAAATTCTTTTGAGACAGGGTCTCATTCTTAGTTCAGGCTGGCTTAAACTTCCTGTGTAGCCCAGGCTGGCCTCAAATTCATGGTGATGCTGCTGTCTTAGTCTTCTGAGTGCTAGGATGACAAGTGTGTGCCACCACACCTGGCTAAAATAAAATTTTATTAAGAAAAACATTCCAAGGGCCGGGGATTTAGCTCAGTGGTTTCACCGCCTGCTGCGCAAGTACAATGACCCGAGTTCGATCCCTGGTACCAAAAAAAAAAAAAAAAAAAGGAAAAAGAAAAACCTTCCAAGATGGCTTAAAGTAGATATTGGCTTTAATAACAAAAAACACTTGAAACCATATTAGGGCAATACTCCTGAACTCATGCAATTAAAAATCCCTCAGCGTATAAACATGAGCATTAGTATCATTACTCTTCTCATTTTTCTTAATAGTAAACAAACTATCCATTTGGACGACATGCATATTGTTGACTATACAGTTGATGTTATAGTTTGGATCCAGAATATCCCCCAGAGGCTCATGTGTGAAGGCTTGGTCCCCAGCTGGTGGCACTGTTGAGAAGTGGTGATGGTGAACATGCTAGAAAATGGGAGCAGGTACAGGAAGAAAGGAGGTTATTGGTGGGCAAAGCCTTTGAAGAAGATCTTTGTTAGCAGCCCTTCTTTGCATATTCTCTCTCTCTCTCTCTCTCTCTCTCTCTCTCTCTCTCTCCTCTCCCTCTTTCCCTTCCTCTTCCTTCCTAGTTGTCTAGATATGAGCAGCTTTCCTCTGCCATACACTTCCAACCAAGACATTCTGCTTCACCACTGGCCCAGAAACAACAGAGCCAGGTAAACTGTGAACCAAAATAAATCTATTCTTCCTTTTAAAGTGCTTTTTTTGGGTATTTTGTCACAGCAATGGCAAGCTGATTAAAATGGTAGCCAACATTTCCTTTTTCTAAATACCAGCAAAGATTTTGTACCTATGCTGTTTCTTAGACACTTGATTCCTTGAAGTAGATCCTAATTCATTGATCCCTTTCAAATTCTGATAATTATCTGGAGACATCTTCACTTCTTTTTTCCTGTTAAAACTTTAGAACTACTTCCATATCCAACTTTGCCTGGGCTGGACTTTTCAGGTGGGGACTCCTGGAGAGGGTGGAGTAGGCTGCTAGTTGGATTCTGGCTGTTGAAAAAACTATAGACCATCTCATGGATTTGATAAAGGAACATGGAACAACTATACCAATAAGCTTTCACATCCTATGGGTGACTCCATCAGATACTTTTACTGTGAAGGTAACAATTCTCCATCTAGACATTCAATTTCCCAAAGCAACTCCACACAAGCTCCCAAAATTGGATGTTGGTCAAGTAGTGTGTTACCAGCTTTTTCCTTAATGTGGGTGGAATCATTTGTAATGTTTTTTTTTTTTAAAGTACGTCAATGTGTAAATTTCCTTAGACTAAAAGAAAAAAAAAGGAGTTAAAAGTTCCAGCTGCCTGAACATTTTCTACTTTGAAAAAGTAAAATCAATTAGACAGGAACATCATGGTACATGACTCGCAGTAAACAAACACCAAACATATGTTATCTTAATTGTGCTGTACAAAAGTCAGGAAGTTGTATGAATCTAAAAAAGAATTCTCCAGAAAGGACAAATGAGGGTATCTAGAGGACAACATGAAAAGTTCTGTTTTTCCAGTTGTCAGTTTGTGCAACTTCAAACAGGCACACTCGTGGGAATCAGCCAGAATATAGATCTAGGGATATTAGATATCTTCATATCTACTTTAGTTTCACCTGCTAGCTTTAGTTTATGAAAGTGGGTATTTAGGAAAGACTTTTTTATTAGTACTGGGGTTTGAACCTAAAGCCTTCTCACTGAGCTATATTCCAGCCCTCTTTTTGTTGTGGTTTAATTTTGTTATTAGTACATGTTTGGAGTACATAATGATTACATTTATCATGGGGAATTGGTACATGTACATAACACATCTTAATTATTTTTTCCCATCCCTCCATGCTCCTTCCAACTCTTGGCCTTTTTATTTTTTTATTTTGAGACATAGTCTCACTAAGTCACTAGGTTGCCATAGCTGGGATCAAACTTGTGATCCTCCTGCCTTAGCCTCTGAAAGTACCAAGATTATAGGTGTGTGCCACCATCCCTGGCTAAAACTCCTTTTTTCCAATCATATTTTGAATAATCAGAATCAAAACTCATTGTTCCTATAATAAGCAACATCTATAAAATCTACTGAGTATGGTGTAGTATGCATATATTCTAAATAACCCAGCACAAAATGTGTCATACTATCATCCTTGTCTTAATGGAGTTCTTGATCTAGTTGAATATAGTCATGCACTGAATACTGGCATTTCAGCCAGTAATGGACCACATAGACAGTGTAAGTCCCATAAGATTATACTGGAGCTTAAATGTTCCTGTCACCTAATGATGTTCCAGTCTTCATAATATTATGGCACAATGCATTCCTCAAATGTTTGTGGTAATGTTGGTGTAAACCAGTGATAGCGAAACTTTTAGAGACCCAATACCCAAACTACAAACCAAAACCCACTTATTTATTGCAAAGTGCAAACACTGCAATTAAAACTGAGTTCGGCTGCCAGGGCAATGCTGGGGTGACTTGGCTCATGTGCCTAGAGAGAGGGCTCTATGTGCCTGCTGCAGCATGCATGCCATAGGTTCTGCACCACTGATGTAAACCAACCAACTGTGATGCCCATCATATAAAAGCCCAACATTTACATTTAGGCACAGTCCATAGTACTTGATGGTGATAATAAATGACTATGTTACTGGTTTATATATTTACTACACTATACTTTTAATTATTAATAGCATGTACTCCTACTTACAAAAAACAACAACAAAGTTCACTGTGAAGCAGTGTGCTGTGTGACACCAGCAGCAGCCTCATGCAGCTCCTGTTTCCCAGGTCTCTGGACTGTACCACGAGGCTTTGGCTGGTGATTGACCCAAGCATGTATAAGTGCACACAGAGATGTTCACACAAGGATGACATCACAGTGACAGGGCACACCCTTATCCGTAAGTTATACACGACTGTCGGTGGGGTTTAGTGAGCGATGGTTTATTTCATGTGTCCATTTGACCGAGCCTGGGGATACCCAGCTAGCTGGTGTCCCACATTTCTGGATATGCCTGTCAGGGGTTTCAGGAAGAGATTAGTGTTTGCATCAGTAGATTGAAGAAATTGGAGGCACCTGGTGTGGGTGAGGATCATCGAGCCCTGAAGAGAATGCACACAGAGAAGGGCAGAGTTCCTCTCTGGGTCAGAAGGTGCGACCATCTTCTCCCGCCACAGACATGGCTTTCCTGGGTCCTGGGCTTTCAAGTTTAGACAGCAGCAACATCACCAGCTTTCCCAGGCCTCCAGTTTGTGGAAACTGTAGGATGCTTTAGTCTGGAACAAGGAAAGTGATCCTGTAGGTAACCTGAGGAAATCCTCCAAGAGAGAAGTCCTGTGGCCAAAACATAACGATGAAGACCCTCAGAGACATGGAAAACTCATAGAACTATTGTTTTCATCAATACATATTTATGTATATATTATACCCCAGAAAGAATACAAGTAGCTTAGAATGTTCTTTTAAATATCAAAGGTACATAAATTGAGAGTGAAAGAAGAGCCAGGCGTGGTGGTGCACATCTGTAATCCTAGCCACTTGGGAGGCTGAGGCAGAAGGGTCACAAGTTCAAAGCCAGTTTGGGCAATTTAATGAGACCTTGTCTCAAAATAAAATTTTAAAAGGGAATGTAAACATTATGCACTACAAACTTGTACTAATAATAAATAAAATTAAAAAGTGAGGGGCTGGAGATGTAGCTCAGTGGTAAAGTGCTGAGGCTCTGGGTTCAATCCCCAGTACTCCTCCAAAAAAATGAAAAATAGAAATAAAGCAGGTCCAAAATTATGACAAGGAATTAAGCAAAAGTGCATATTTAATGATGCTGTATCCATTAGTTACCTTTCAATCACTGGAACAAAATACCCACCATGCACAACTTAAAGGAGAAGTGCATGTACGGTTTCAGTTTCAGTTCATGGCCAGCCAGCTCTGAGGCAGAAACATGGCAGAAGGGTGGGTGTGGTGGAGGAAAGCTGCTCAACTCATGGCATCTGGGAAACAAGGAGGGAAAAAGCCAGAAAGGAAGGGGCCAGGGACCAGATATTGTTCCCAAGGCCACACCCCCACGGACCACCTAGACACCCAGAGGTGTGCTTTACTAATCCCTGAAGTAGCTCCTATGCTCCTCAAATTGACAATCCAGACTGTAGACTTTGGAGTAACCCTCACCTTAGATGGGTGACAAGTTTGACCTCAAGCTTGCTCTTAGTGCACGAAAGGGAAATCCAAGCTGTGATGCTGTCCACACTGTGCACAAGCTAAATGCATACTGCAGCTTAAAAGAGAGCCTGTTCCCAAGAGAAAAAACAGGAGTCTTCTGTGATTGCTGACAGGCAGCACGGGAGACCAAGAATCACGACCACAGGACGACGTCAGCATGGCAGACCCAGCAGGAGGTTGGAGACCTGCTCTCTTTGTGCTCTGTTTCTCCACATCAAGCGCACACTCTGAAACCTGCAGTTCCTCAGCTTCCTGTGTGGCAGGGGTTAGGAGGGTGGAGAAGGGGGGGGGGGCGCCAGGATCCTAGGTGCACACACAGCTTTCTCCAGACCTGGCCTAACCCAAGGTCCGTTTTGGAGTACGTTTTCTAGAGCCTTGTTACTGGAAATTTGATCTTCAGGCTAACAGGATTAGCTGCAAGCCTCATGAAAATGCAGCTACCTTCCCAGGCCCACTGAATTAGAATCTGCACTTTAACAATATACCCAGATGATTCACATGCACAATAATGTTTGAAAACCAGTGCTCTAGGATAGAATATTTGTCTCAGAATATTGCTTTTCTATCTAAGCTTTTGATAAAACTAACTCAATCACAGTTGCATCTTGTGTCTAGTTCATTGCTTGGTATATAACAGATTCTTCCAAAATATACTTTGCATTATTATTTC